CCGGGAGTGCCTACCCTGTTATAACAAATTCCAGGATGCACTGGGAAAGAACAGTCCCCTTCCTGGAGTACTTTGGAAGAAGCTTTATTGACTCCTCAAGGACAAAAGACCCTGCAGGTGCCAGCCAAAGGCCTTTCATCAGCAGTGTGAGGGGCTCTTCTGGAGTAGAGGGGCCAGTCCACCTTGTGCTGGGTCCTTTAAGACTTTGGGTTTTGAATCCCATCCATGCACCAATAAGAAGGCAGAGGATAGTTGTGGTGCAGGGCATGCTGACTGCCTTTGCAATTCTGTAAGGCTGCCTGAATACCAGGGTTTGAGATCCCAGGTTCACTGAGAGATTGGGGTAGCATCATTTTCCCTCCAATACCATCACAGTGGGACTTTAGAGAGCAACACAGTGGCCCCCACTGTTCGTGGGACCTGCTTACACCGAACCCTGCCACTGGGTGCCTGGCAACTGCTTATATACTGTAGAAAGACTGACTCCAAGTCAATACAGCTGGCCTCTTCTTCAGACCAGCAAAGCCACCATCCCCCGGGGACCAACAGGCAACACTTTTTCTTTTTGTTTTTTTTCCACTTAGTTTTTTTTTCTTTTGGAATCAGGTTCATAGTTTCTGATTTGTTTTTGTTTTTGTTTTTGTTTTTGTCATTTCTTTTTATCTTTTCCTTTCTTTCTTTCTTTTTTTGTATCAGGCCTTTTTATTCTTTTCCTTTACCTTCTTTTTCTTCTGTATTTATTTCCCTTTCTTTTTCCTTGGAATCAGCTTTATAGTTTTTTATTCTGTTTGGTTTTATTTTTTTTCCCTTCCTTTTCTTTTTTATGGGATCAGGCTTCCTCCAGGCTTTTTCGCCCCAAGGTTACTTCACAAACAAATCGAAGCACATCTAGTTACAGGTCCAAACACTCCACCACAGCAAGCAAGGAGGAGATCGCAGAGGGCTAACTGGTGGGAAAGAACAGCCAAAACACAATAGCAGAGCACACACATCATACACCAGAAACACTTCCTGGACTGCCAGGCCTGGACAGGGTATTAAGCCTCTTTAATCAGCAGTACTATCAGGTGCAGCAAACATAACAAGCTTTTAAAACATGCAAAAGAAAGGAACTTAGTCAAAATGACAAGATGGAGGAATATTCCCTAAAAGAGAAACCCTTCCTGCAGAGATCAAAGACCTAAGAACTAGTCAAGATGAATTAAAAAATGCTATAACTGAGATGCAAACTGACGATATAATTACAATAAGGATGAGGAATCTGGGTTCAGAATAGGTGATATAGAAGATAAAATCATGGAAATAAGAAGATGGAAAGAAAACTATTAGATCAAAATGACAGTCTTGGAGAACCCAGCAATTCCATAAAGTGAAATAATATCTATATCATAGGAGTCCCAGAAGAGCAGGGAAAGGGGGAAGAACGATTAAACAAGTTCTAGCAGAGAAGTTCCTTAATCTCGGGAAGGAAAAAGGCATCCAAGTCAAACAAGCACAGAGAATTCCCTTCAAAATCAACAAAAACAGGTGAACACCATGACATATAATAGTGAAACTTGCAAAAATATAAAAAGAGAATTCTGAAAGTAGTTGGGAACAAAAGGTCCTTAACTTAGAAGGGTAAACACATAAGGTTAGTATCAGACCTCTTCAGTGAAATGTGGCAGGACAGAAGGGAGTGGCAGGAAATATTCAATTGCTTAATTGGAAAGTATGCCACCAAGAATCCTTTTAACCAGTGAGGCTGTGATTCAGAAGAAGGAGAGAGAAAGACTTTCCAAGTCAAACAAAAACCAAAGGAGTTCATGACAACTAAACCAGCCCTGCAAGAAATTTTAGGGGGACTCTCTGAGTGGAGAAAAAAAAAAGACCAAAGCAGGAAAGACAACAAAGACCAGAGAATACCACCGGATGTACCAACTCTATAGGTAACACAATGGCACTAAATTCATATGTTTCAATAATCACTCTGAATGTAAATAGTCTAAATGCTCCAAAAAAAGAAATAGGGTATCAGAATGGACAAAAACAAAAACAAAACAAAACAAAATAAGATCCATCTATATGCTGGCTACAAGAGACTCATTTTATACTAAGACAACTGCAGGTTGAAAGTAAGGGGATAGAGAACCATGTATCATGCTAATGGACTTCAAAAGAAGGTCAAAGTAGCCATACTCATATCAGGCAGCCTAGATTTTAAAACAACTGCTGTAACAAGTGAAGAAGGGCATTATATCATAATTAAGTGATCTATCCATCAAGAAGATCTAACAATTGTAAATATTTATGGCCCTAACTTAGAGAACCCAAATATATAAATAAATTATTCACAAACATAAAGAAATTTATTGATAATAATACCATAGTAGTAGGAGACTTTAATAACCAACTTGAAGCAATGGATATACCATCTAAGCAGAAAATCAACAAGGAAACAATGGCTTTGAGTAACACACTGGACCAGATGGACTTAGCAATACATAGCAACAAGAAATACATATTCTTGTTGAATACACATGGAACATTCTCCAAGAGAGATCACATACTAGGTCACAAATCAGTCTTCAATGGGTACAAAATGATTGACATCATACCAGGCATATTTTCAAGTCATAATGCTAAGAAACTTGAAATCACCACAAGAAAAAATGTGCAAAGCCCTCAATACATGGAGGTTAAGGAAGATCCTACTGAAGAATGAATGTATTAACCAGGAAATTAAAGAATAAATTTAAAAAATACATGGAAGTAAATGAAAATGAAAACACGACACTCTAAATCCTTGGGATGCAGCAAAGGCAGTCACAGAGGAAAATACACTTCAAATCATATCTAGCTCAAGAAGAAAGCAAGTTCCCAAATGCACAACCTAACCTTATACCTAAAGGAACTAGAAAAGGAGCAGCAAATAAATCCCAAAGCCATCAGAAGAAAGGAAAAAATAAAGTTTAAAGCAGAAACAAACAATAAAGATGAAAAAAAAAAA